TTATTTAAGGAATTCATCTCTCTTAGAATGACATATGTATTCAGAATCTTTTCTGTTTCTTTAACTATATTCAAACAAATGTTTCTTTTTTAAATATTCTCTCTGGTAGATCCGATCATCTATTTTCTTAATTTTCACTTTGATCTTTTTCCTTTGACCAGTATCTTTCTTAATCAATGTGATTTGCTGAATCAAAAAGTTTTTCCATATATTCATGACTACTGCTATAGTATAAAAAGTAAATCAAATGTTTCTTTTTTTTTGTAGATGTAATGTCCTTAATTTATATAGCTTACTGTTTTATACTATTTAATTGCTTTTCCTGAAAAAGAATAAAGTGATGGGCAATGTAGAAAAATGTATGCTTTGTCCTGTTAGTGCTTATTTCTGTAAAAAAAAATAGAGCTGGCCACTAGGGAGCAGATTGATTTTAAATTCAGAGAACAGCTACCCGTATATTCCGGCGTATAAGACGACCCCCGACTTTTGAGAAGATTTTCAGGATTTAGAAAGTCGTCTTATACGCTGGAAAATACGGTAGTTGTAAATGGTTGCTAACTTGTTCATTGTTTTGTAAGGAAATCTGTGCAGATTTGTAATTGTAGTGCTGGCAAGGCAGTATTACAGGGCATTTAGTAAATCTCATTGCATAGCTAAAGAATTTCATGCTGATTTCATGGAGACACCTATGTAGTTTTCTAGCCAGCAATACAGAAATAGTTTGCCACCTCACTCTTTTATTTTTGTTTTTTTAGTTCCCACTGTGGCCTATAAACTTGCAATCCTTGTAATCCCCTGGAGATCTCCTGACTGAGTACACTCTGTACCTAACCCTGATTATCTTCAGAGGTCAGACAAAAACAGCCAGGTGATGTCTTCTGTCAGGAGAGACTTCTTAATGTAGCCCAGCTGCTTACATTTTGAAGTTGAGGGTGTCTCTCCTGCCCATAAATAATTGCCTATGAACTGAAAACCATGTTTGGTGAGGACAAAGAAGTATGAGATGCTCAAATGAGCAGAAATTTTAAATGACTGCATATAGCACTGCCTGAAAAGTGTAGGCAGTGAGGTAGTCCTCGCTTAACGACAATTTGTTCAGCCCCTATTTGAAATTACAATGGTGCTGAACAAATGGTACTTATACCCAACCCTTAAAGTTACAGCCATTGCATGTGGTCACATGATCAAAATTTGGGAGCTTTGCAGCCTCCCATGTTTATGACTACCAAGTGTGTTTCAGCTCCCCCCCCCATTTCTGCCCAATCTCTGCTTTGCTTGACTGTCCTGAAATCTGGTTTCCATCCACCAATCTATACTTCACAATTTCTGCCTACTAAACCTATCAGCCTAACAATCTGCCCTGGAATTATAATGATGGTCTTTACCAATTGTGCAATTATAGAAGTGGGATTACATAGAAGAAGCTCTTTTTGGGAATTAAAAATGGAATCCAATATATTCTAGACTACTGGAATCAATCAGAATAGAGCTGGAAGGGACTATGGATGTCTTCTAGCCCAACCTCTTGTTCAAGCAGGAGACCCCATACCATTTCAGACAGGTGGCTGTCCAGACTTTTCTTAAAAACCTCCAGTGATGAAGCATCATCAACTTCTGATGGCAAGGTCTTCCACTGGTTAATTGTCCTCACTGTTAGGAAGTTTCTCCTTAGTTCCAGGTTGCTTCTCTCCTTGATTAGTTTCCATTCATTGTTTCTTGTCTTGCCTACAGGTGCTTGATAAATAAGTTGACCCTCTCCTCTTTGTGGCAATCTCTCATATACTGGAACACTGCTACCATGTCACCCCTCATCCTTCTTCTTTCTAGACTAGCCAAACTCAAATACTGCAACTATTCTTCATCCTACTTGCTCTTCTTTGCACCTTTTCCAAAGTATCAACATCTTTTTTGTAATGTGGTGACCAAAACTGGGTGCAGTATTCCAGGTGTGGCCTTACTAAGGTTTTATAGAGCGGTATTAATACTTCACATGATTTTGATTCTATGCCTCTGTTCATACAGCAAAGGATTGTATTAGCTTTTTTGGCTGCTGCCACACACTGCTGGCTCATATTTAACTGATGATCCATTAGGACTCCAAGATTCCTCTCAGTTTCTGTTTTTGAGCCAGATTTCATGTAATCTGTACTTGTACCTTTATTTTTTTCATGCCTAAAGCCTTGCTTTTCTCTACATTAAATTTCATGATGTTGGATATGGCCCATTGTTCAAATCTGTCAAGATCTTTTTGGATACTGAGCTTGTCTTCTGGGTGTTGACTATTCCTGCCAGCTTAGAGTCATCTGCAAATTTATGAGTTCCTCTTTTATTCCCTAATCTAAGTCATTTATGAAGATATTGAAGAGTACTGAGCCTAAGATGGAACCCTGTAGCACCCCACTGCTTACTTCCCTCCATGTAGATGTAATACCATTAAGAACTACTAGCGGAGTATGGTTGGTCAGCCACTTACAAATCCATCTAGTGGTGATGCTGTCCTAGCTTACAAAGAAGTAAGTTGTGGTCTGTTTTGTTGAATGCCTTGCTGAAGTCTAAGTATATTATATTCACAGCATGATGTCATTACCTTGCCATACTAAAATCTAGGAAAATCACACAGGCATGCATACACGCACACACACACACACATACACTCACACAGAGACACTCACTCACATACAAATCTCTTTTTTTATTACAACAGAAAGTTCTCAGATGGAGGTAGGAAAGAAGAAAGAGAAGATGTCTTATTTCATGGAGATAATGGAAACGGGATGGGAAAGAGGAAAAAAAAGAATAAAACAAAACAAACTTTTCTTGGACACAGCAATATACATTTAGGGATTGTAAGGACTTCATTTAAATGTGAAAGGAAGAATACAATCTGCCTGATAATCATGATGTATTTAGAGTCCAGGAATTGAAATAAATTGAAATAGAAATTGAGTGCAATTTTCATTAATCCACACTAGAGGGCACTAGGACTTAAATTTAGATTAAAGGCTTTCATAGCACTTCTGATGGAAAACATTAACTACCAGATTTTCTTCATATAAAATAGTTTTGCAGGTTTGTAAATGTTCAAGTGTATAATTAGGAATAGAAATTAATGCAACCTAATACAGAAGTGATGGCAAAACTGACACTACTCCTTTTGTTGATTTGTACTAATTTGGAAAGAGTGATACAGAGACGACTGCATCCTGAACGGCCTTGCTTTGATGGAGATACTGGGGCAAGAGTTTCAGGGAATGAAGAAGCAAAAGAGACATCTAATGTGATAGCAAAAGTCAGAAGACAAGGAGCATGATTAGACATGGTACAAGCCAACATTAAGCCCTATCAATGCTGATAAAGATGGCAAAACATTCTAATTTATCCAGTAGTATAGTTTAAGACAAAACACAATCTGCTTGGAATATGATGAACTGGAAGATCTTCCTATAAGCTGCTACTGCTTCTTTGCTAGAACTATGTTGGTAGTTGATAAGTCATTAGTGGATCAAGGAACTCAAGACAAAATCATAAAAATCATGATTTTTATGATCTAATTTAGATCTATGCACCTTAATGTATTAAATCTAGAAACTTCATTCAAGTATCTCATTCTCCTTCTTAGATTGCTACAGTAGTTCTACAATATTTAATATAAATATGAAGGACAGATCTCCATTTATCTCACACCAATGGATTATTGATACATATTCTTTGTGTCCAGAATAGACTTATTCATCAACATGATTTTCAAGCAATTTTATCAAGATTCTTGGGTTCTTTTCTTTGATTTTCAAGTTGTTATTTTTTAAAAAAAATCATTTATCACACGTATTTACCATTACCTTGCTAATTTCGACCTCAGCAGCAAATGTAAACTAATGTATATTCTTCTTACTTCTGAGGTGTACGATATCTTTACTATTCAGTTACAATTACCAAAGGGTAGATACCATATTTCTGAAACAAATCTGCTTTTATGCAGGCAACAACATAATGTTAAAATGATTGAGATAGCAAACTTATATCCTCCAGTCTTTGTTTAATTTATATCAAACTAGGCAGCATGATTAACAGAAATGATGGGATTAGAATCCAGCAATATATGGAGAGTCAGGTTTTTCATTTTTATCTTAGAAAGAAATAATTCTTACTTACAAGAAAGAAAAAAGGAATACCTTTTAAAAGTTTTTTGCATTCAAATATAGATGATTTCCTCTACTGGAATGCAAAATTTCTATTGCTAAACAATACAGTTAAGTAAATTTTGCCCCATTTTATGAACTTTCTTGCCTATTGACTTTGCTTGCAGAAGGTCAACAAAAGATAATCACACGACCCTAGCATACTGCAATTTTCATAAATACCTGCCAGTTGCCAAGTAACCAAATTTTGATCACATGACCATGGGGTCATGTGAAAAATGGTCGTAAGTAACTTTTTTCCAGTGCCATTGTAAGTTTGAACAATCACTAAATAAATGAGAGTGTAAGTCAAGGACTACTTGTATTTGCATTCAAGTTTTCTTTTAAATCTACCCAATTATTAAACACAGGATCTCTTTAATTGATTAAAATTATTTTAATTGATTAATATAACCACCAAGTCAATTAAATAGGCTTAAACCTTTTTTTGATGTGATTTATCACTGTTTCTCTTCTGTGAGAACAGCCACATAACTGTTTAAAAAAATAAAAGAAAGCAGGCTCCAGTTTAATGTTGGTATCTTAGGGTTGGCACACTGGCTCTTCTTTAGTTTCTTGCTGGTTTTTATGTGAAATATCTATTTAAGTCAGGAGGTTTCTGCCCTGGTATCAAATACTCCTGGAGGTATCAACCTTAAATTTGGAAACATTTCACGTTGGTAAGAAAGTTATACTAAGGAAGCTGGCTATATGTATAAGATAATGTAACTGACTAGTCTTTGAATAATTCTCCTGTAGAACTTCAGCAATAGTTCGTTTCCATACTAACCACTTCTGAAACAAAAAGTCTGGAAACATGAATATATAAAAGCCATTTAATTAAAAAAACATAATGATGTTGACTCACATACACAAACAAATACTGAACTGTGTACACAGATCAAAAACAAAAAACAAAAAAACCCTTATGGGCAGAGACTAGTACCTGAAAATATGCCAACAAAAAGTCCTTAAGCTTTTAATTTCAATTTCTCTAACTGTCTCCTTGCTGAATGCCATTGTCTATGTTAGCATACAGCTTGCCAAAAGAGGCTCATGTATAACAACCAATGCTTCAGGCCTCCAATATTTTATTTTTCTAAACAAACTAACAAAGAAAAAAAATCTGTCCTAAAGTTTCACTATGACACCCAAGGAAGAATCCTGCTTGGATAGTACAAAATTATGAAATAGCAGCCAGCTGTAATCATGTTTGTGCTTTGTTCAGCCATCTTGATTTTCATCCCGTTCAGATTCAGATTCTAAAAAACAAAGAAAAATACTAAGTTTCTTATAGCTTTAAAAATACTATACACACACACATGCACACACACATGCAATCAACTCCACAAATAAATAAGCCACAAGCCAAAAGGAGGAGATTTAAAGTGAGAAGTATTTATTTTAATCAGTGGTGTAAATGCCATCTATTGTCAAGAATAAGTTTCTCCACCCAAGATATTTCGTATGTTCCTCATTAAGATGTGCTATTGGATATGTTGAATTTAACATCCAATACATGTGGTGGGACTGTAAAGATTAAAAATAAATCTCAGGATGGGGACTTTCTTAAGTTGAGAGCCTTCAAATTATAAAACATTTTTAATAGGAAAAATTGGGAAAGAAAGACTACAATTACTACATTTCATGACATACAAAATGTAGCAGTTGTAGTCTCGCCCTCCCTATTTTTCCTATCAAAAATGTTTTATAATTGTACCATGAGATGTAGCAATTACTTTTCTATCAGCTGATAGTACTTCCCAAATAAAAATAGTAACAAACCTGAACATGATATTACTTTACCAAGTACCACTATTCCCACTAAATATGTTTCAGTCTCTGAAGGCCACAAAAATCTCTCACCGAAAAACACAACCGACAAGACCATATCTCCCACCATCAACCACATAGTGCCAATGTCTGGCCACTCCACAAAGCTTTCTTGAAGAAAAGGGCTCTGAGCTATATTAGCAACAAACCAAGGCAAGGTTTCCCCAATGTGAATGACATGGACAGGTTCCAACTATCTCTAGGACTCAGCATTAAAACCTGTTCTCCAATCACTAAGGAATCCTCTCTCCCTGCTGGCTGCTGCTTCTTTCTTGGGACAAGTTGCCTGAGTTGTAATGAAACAAGACGGTCATGAAACGTAGCTATGCCTTTCCTTTTATCATCATTATTCTTATTTTGCAACATCATTTTCCTTGATTTTCAATTAAAATACTACCTAGGATGGTACAATTAAAGACATACAAACAAGGCAACAACAACAAAACAGGAGTGCTGCTGTTCATTTATTTGTGAAAAGCCCCAACATGTGATGTTTAGACAGTTTTACTTTAATAACTCTTCCTGTGTCTCACTTACTGTTTCTTACCACAGTTTATTGTATTATGTGTGACTTTATCTCTTTGGGGGGATGTTACTTCTTTTTAAAAACAAGAAGGAAGAATTACTAAATTGAAGAATTTATAAGAATTGAATAAAGCAAATTTTAATTCTAAAGGCAAAGTACGAACTTATGATCACAGCTGGCCAGCTGTGTAGATTATATTGAATTAGACTTCAAGGGGATTTGTTTTGTGACTTTGCAACAGGATACAAAAACACTTCTTTATAGAGGCCACCATATGGAGATGGAGAATGAAATCAACCACAATTTTAAATGGCTCTATGCACAACAGAACTAGCCATAGCTTTTGATTTAAAAGCAGAAGTAGGAAATCTTGCGATTTTTACTTCAAAATATTCAGCATTTTAGCTTAAATAATACCCACTAAATAAGGTGATGAACTCTCAGTTTCAGGGAAGTGATAGTGAAATAAAGAAGGATGATGTCAAATTTAAGTTGTCAATTTTCCAAAAGAATAACATGCATATATAGGCAGCACATACGAAATACCTCTTCTTACATTTTTTTAAAGCAGCCAAAATTTTTTTTCAGCTTATAGGGCTGCTTTGGAAAATGGTCCAAGGTGTCTCCATATGGGTGCATTTTGCTCAATAAAATGGCATGGCTATGCCATCATATGGAGATACACAGGAACAGCTTTAAAAAGAAAATATGAACCTATAGAAAGGCATAGTTGTTTTGTATGCTTTTCTCTGCATTTCAAAGCACTTTTTCTGAAAAATTTGCAGAATTCTAATGTATATACTAGACATTCCAATAAAGAGAATGGATGATGTGTATTTATGTGTGAGTGTATGAGAGAGAGGGGGAAGAGAGCGAGAGACAGAGAAAGAGAAATAATATTAAACATCTATAAAATAAGAGAGACATTGCAGAGATATACTGTCATTTTCACATTCACAATTGTCACATACAGGTGCACACATTTCTTCTTCCTGTCTCCAGAAACCAGAAAAGGAAAAATAAGGTAAGGAAATGAGGAAAATGGGAAGTAACTATTCAGGCAAGGCAAGGCAATGAGAAGAAAAGAGTAAAACAATTCCTATAGAATTCATAGAAAGATCTAAATTCACCAACAGCAGAAGGTAAGTAATCTATTTGCTGATCATGTGAAGGAAAAATAATAGCATGCAGTTTATCTATAACAACAATGTAAACACCTCTCCTAAACTGAAGACCAATCAAATATTTGCAAACGTATTATATAAATATTTAAATATTTTGGGGATGAGAGTAGACCAATAATGTCATAGGAAGGCTCAACTCTTTTGAATAAAATTGCTAGCCTGACTTGCTGATATTACTAGCCCTACCTAGCAGTGATAGACTGAACCTGAATCTTCTTATGTGCAAAGCAAGATTCTCCACTGCTGACACTGATTCAAGTGTCATTCAGGGACTAGCCAACGCACAACCTGTCTAGCTAATGCATAGCCTATTTAAGCTTATTCAGTTTAGGCAATGGATAATCCAACAGATTCTGTTCTGTGGATCAAAGAAGCTTAGCGCCATATAAGCAAAGAAGAGCTCATGTAATTCAAAATTTAATTAAATTAAAAATTTAATTAAAAAATTACCTTCTTCAGCATTTTTCAGCCATTCCACAAACTTCTTCATTTGATCAAGAAACACACTTTTGCCTTTAGCAAGATGCGCCTCTTTGAACCATTTCAAAATGGCTTCTTCACTTAGGACATCAGCTGAAATTCAAATTCAGAAAAATAACCACTAGTAAATGTTCTGGGTAAAGGATTGAACTATACAAATAATCCTCAACTTATGATAAAAATTGACCTCAAAAATTCCGTTGCTAAGCAAGACAATTGTTCAGTGAATTACATCCTATTTTACAACTTTTTTGCCACAGTTCTTAAAAGAAATACTGTGGTTAAGTGAATCATGCATTTTTTAAGTGAATCTGGATGGAAAGGTTACAAATGGTAATAACGTGATTCTGGGCCAGTGCAACTGTCATAAAAATTAACCCAAATTTTGATCATGTGATCATGGGGATGTTGCAACAATCATAATGTGAAATAGTTATAAGTTACTTTTTTGTGCCATTATAACATCAAATGGTCACTAAACAAATTGATTTTAAGATACAGACCACCTGTAAATAGTATTGCTGCTTTAAAAAAAAAAACATCCTGAAATAATTTACTACTGTGACAGAAACAAACAACAAGGTTACAGTTGGACATTAAGGTATGAAGGAAACAAAGGTTCAGATGTACAGACCTCCAGAGGAGAAAAAAGTCTAATTAAAAGAACAGTGGAGAAGATCTGCTTACAGTATATTTGTATTATTTGCTTAGAAACAGAGAGAATGGAGAGATCTTAATACAATCATTTAGGAGCACAAAAGTGAAACATGCTATCTAGAGGAATTCAAAGGCCAATTGCTTTTTCTTTTTATTTAGAAAAGTCTGATTTTTAACTTTTGTATGCTTTCCATATATAGCTTTTTGCAAGATAAAGATTTTGTCTCAATCAATCATCTTTGAACATCTCTCATTTTGGAGTAGTAATTTAAAGATTAGATAGATATTTTAAATGCTAATACAATTTTTGACGAACTTTTATGGGACTTGGTGTTCTCCCAATAACTCTAGAGAATCATCACTTGGAACAAAGCACATGAACTGTTGCAGAGTGCAATTTTAGAGATTGCCATTTTCTATATCTCCAAGGAAGAGCAATAGACATATAAGAAAAGATATATCACAAAATAAGCTGTGAAATATTGGCATGCTTTCTGATTTGCAAAATTAACGTGCAAGTCAACATAATGTCAAGCTATGAACTCTACTGCCTTTAGGACCGCTGCATGCCAACAGTGGAGGAGGGAGATGGGAGAGAACTTTGGATGCACAGGTGTTCTTATTTGTTATGAGAAAGCCGGAACTGTGGAAGAGTTGGTTTTGGTGAACCAAAGTTTCTTCTCATAACAATTACTGGGAGATGTATTGGACAATGTGACTTGAACTGTCAGAGAGGAGAGAAGGAGATTCATTCCTTTAATTACTTGTTTCCCACTTTTTCTTCAGAGCTGGATTTCACTTTGAATCTACCGAAATGATTCTGCTCAATAAAGACATTAGAGTACTTAATGGTTCTGGGGGTTTTCTTAGTTGGGCTTTTCAGCCGGATGTTGACACATAAATTATGTTTGCTTCCATGTTTGCTCTTGCTGGAAACAAAAGCCAAGAATACCAAATTAGTTAGTGGGGTTTATCCTTTAAAACTGAATATACAATAGTTGTGAATGAAGGGCAGTATAGAATATATTCTGGCCAAATTATAATCTTACAGAAATTAGAGATTCAATGAAATTACTGAAGTCAGACTTTCAGTCAACAAATAGGCAAGGATCTGATTTATGAAGAACGGGAATCAATAAAAAATGTTTAATTTAATGACTGTTTAATATATTCCACAATAAATGTTTCCAATTAAGCTAATTGGAAAGAGATTTAGAAATTATATCTTCACATAGCACCATAATTTATCTGTAGAATTCATTAGTACAAGACATATTAAGAGCTATTAACTTAATGGATTTGAAAAAAGACTGAATCTATTAAATGGAGATCTATGAAAGCCACCAGTTTTTCAATTAACACAATTTCAAATATGAATTACACGGGAAAATGGGGAAAGAAATGCATTTCTCCATTTCCTGCTAATAAGCACCTCTGAGATATCCAGTTGGTCATCATGAACATAAAATGCCAGAATAAGATGGATCTCGATCTGGCTCAGAAGAGCTATTCTTATATTCTGAACTTCTTTCATACTTAGAGATTCAGGTGAAAATTGGGTAAGGAACATATATTATAAGAGATGGATTTCATATTGAGTTATATGGTGGCTTATTAAAATATATTTTTCCAGTAAAGGAAGAATAGGCTCATTGATAGCAAACAAAAAAATCCTTCCATTTACTGTTCAGTGGTCATTACACCATTCAAAACAATAAAAACAAAAGTATTATGAAATTGTTCTACTGAAGCTGTTTTTCCCTTTCAAGTATTTATAGCAGCAATCCCAGTAAGATCCAGCCAAAGAATTTTGGTTTCCATGACAACTAATCTAAGCTTGATGTGAACACAATCCTTAAATAAAACTGAAAACGGAGAAAGGAAGAAACCCAATAATTTAGCCAAAGAATTGACTGCCTTCATGTAAGCCTTTTGAACAAAAACAAAAACAAATTGGCTTGTTCCCTTTGGAAACCTCTTTCCCTGAATTATAGGCTGTTTAATATTTCTAACACTTATGTTCAACTTTCAAATCTTTGTCGCTGTGCCTGAATGCAAGTTCAGCTCAGCCAGCAGAGAAACAACCCAAAAAACTGTCTTGATTTCAGTTCTGCGTCTTTTATTGCCAGAAACAAATGATGGAAAGCCTTGATATCTAGCATACAGCTACTTTTCATGACATTTGTAAAAAGACCATCTTGTGGAAGATGATCATGTTCTAGATACTTCAGTTCATTAAATTTTATAAGACATAGTTATGCTACTTGAGGCCCAAAAGATGTCAATTGCAGTCCCTTTTATTTTTTAATTTGATGAATGACCCACAACTATTTAAAAGCCTGGTGTGACCTCTGACCAAAGAAAATAGCAAACTCCAGCAAGATGCTTCCAAGAATTTGAAGCAATATGAAGGTAAATCTTATCCCACTGCTGTTCCCCCACCACTCTGATTAGACACATTGGTAGAAGAAAGTATAGCAATATTTAAAAAATGGAAAGAAAACAAAAATAAAAAAGCCAATAGGCTTTTATGGTGTTATAACCATGATTTTTTGTTGGGTTGATCTCAACATCTCTAATCTTAGAGAGGACTTGTCAGCAGTTGACCTTCTCTACAGAGCAATCAGAATAAATCCAAGGAATAAGGACTATAATATAGGAACAGGAATATTCTTTATTGGCCAAGTGTGATTGAACACCCAAGGTATTTGTCTCTGGTACATAAACTCAGTGTACATACAAGCAACAAATGCATGAATCTATGTTAGCAGATATAATTCTGCCTCGTGTTCTTCTGGACAGTACATTAGAACACTAGCGATGCAGTGATAACAGCTATGATTTTCACTGCATTTTGGTATTTTTTAAGAGTAGGTTGGAACTGAGAAGTTTCTGGAGGTCCCCCTCCCCCCTCTCAAATTATCCAAAATTGCACTATGCCTTTGTGCTGCCAAAATTCAGCAGTGCAATCTTGAGATATTGATGGTTTATGCAGAGTGCACAGGACTCCATTCCTATATCAGATTAGTATATGCTACATGAATTTCCAAATAAAATTAGTTTACTAGCTGTATAGCAAATAAAATAGGAACTATTAGACATGCTCTCATGATGAACATATTAGCCCACCTGTGCAAATCTTTTTAATAAGCAAGCTAGAAACAAAGAGTATGTTAGCTTCTAGCAAGTTCTTTGGCATACAGACAATGAACTCTTCTCAAATTGATATTTTCATTCTCCTTACTTCATTTATCACTCTGTCATTTCAGTTTTGTGCTAGAATGTATTTTCCATCTCCTTTATATTAATAGACCATCAAAACGTAGGACTCCATCTAATATATCTGTCTCTCTATATTGGTTTATCTTTCCTCTGACCTTAAAAATCTTTTTTTATAGAGAGAGTTATTTAAATTAGCTGACATGTAATTTAGTTGATTAGGCTGATCAAGTCACTAGTCAAAACAGAAATATCTGGTAATGTTTTGATTTTTGATCTGAAACCTAATTTTTCTGTAATGCGTTTTAACCCAGGGGGGTAATAATAGCCATGCAAGTGATTACAGAAAGCGAGAGAACTTTGGTTTCTTAGGTGTTATTGTGTGACGTATATGTACCAACAAACAGAACTGCTAGGGAATTCAAACACCTTTTGCTAAACATAGTCTGCAGCTGAAAGTAAAGTTCCATTCCAGTTTAGAAAACCCCTTGACATTCTGGCAAGAAATGCCTGAGCAACATGCTGGGCTTTTGAAAGCTGCTTTGATAAATGCTTAAAGTTTCTACTCTTTTGTTAACACCTGTAAAACTGCAAACTTTGTATAATATCAAAATCCATAGAAATAGTCACCAAGGAGGACTGATGCTAACTTGAACTTTCTTGTTCAAGGAAAAATTGAATATTAATTTTCTATGGAAAATATTAATACTCCCCTCTCCCAAGGTGTGGCAGGCCATCACTCTTCTGAAAAGGAATTAAAAAATGGCTCTCTATCTTTGAGTAGGGATCCCGGAGGGTCACATAGCTGTGGGCTGGTTGGTACCCTTCATCTTTTTAACTAATTTTTAACTGTGGTCATCCATCCTTGTCTCCTTTTAAATTCATTTTTTTAAAAATTTATAATTCTTAAATGCTGTTTTTATATTTTTACACTTTATTGCCCAGAGTCCCTTGTTTAGGGAGATAAGCTGTTCAAAAATGTGATAAATAAATAAATATGATTGGAATATAAAAATATAAACACAGCTGTCATATTTTTATTATTTTTTCATATACTGACATAAAAAAGAGAGATTGTAAAGAGAGATTGTATTGAGACCTACTCAATAGGTCATCCACAGTTGATCATACAAGAAGGAAATACTATTTTATCAAACTTGATTGATTTACTTTACTAGCAATGGAACATAATTTGATATATTCCTTATTGATGATAAATTTTCATATGCATGATACCTGATTTTATTCACATGCTAGTAGATTTTTTTTTTAAATTCTATTCTTCTTTGTATGTGTCTTGCAATTTGAGAGTTTGTTGTAATGTTTAAGGTACCAGACTAGAAACCAAGAGAATGGAAGTTCTAGTCCCACTTTAGGCATGAAGGCCAACTGGGTGACTTTGGGCCAGTCACTCTGTATTAGCCGAACCCACCTCACAGGATTATTGTTGTAGGGAAAATAGGAGGAAGTATTAGGTACACTGGCTGCCTTGAGTTATTTATAAAGATGGGATAAAAAAAAAACCTAAGCAATGAAGATAACTTTGAAATAAAAAAGATGGATAAAAGGAAGTACCTTTATAAAAGAGCACCACAATCTTCTGAAAGGCTTTCATAAAGTGGATGTTATCATAACAATATTCTTGAACTTTCTGAAGAAGGATCAGTTCTGACTGGCCTTGGGTGCTGAACACTGCCAGTAAAGGTGCATATTGCTAAAACAATCAAAGGAGAAATTGGATTAGTTATTTACAGACAAATACCAAGTAGAATATTATTCAAATGTTTCAAAGGCTACAGAAGTTGATAGTGCAATATTTTCAATACGGGTAGACCTCGACTTACAACAGTTCATTGAGTGACTGTTCAAAATTACAACAGCACTGAAAAAAGTGACATGACTATTTTTTACACTTATAATCTTTGTAACAGTCCCACAATCATGTGATCAAAATTCAGATGCTTGGCAGCTGATTCAAACGTATGACCACTGCTGTGTCCCAAGGTCATGTGATTCCCCTTTGCAACCTTTTGACAAGCAAAATCAATGGGGAAGCCAGATTCGCTTAACAACCATGTTACTAACTTATCAACTGCAGTGATTCACTTAACAACTGTGACAAGAAAGTTTGTAAAATGGGGCAAAACTCACTTAACTATCTTACTGAACAACAGAAATTTGGGGCACAATATGTGGTCATAAGTCGAGGAATACCTGTATTTTTTTTTTACTGCATTTTATGTTGGATTTAAGTGGCTATTAGATAGTTTTACATTATGTAAACCCAAAAGGTGGGACAATAAGTGGCTATTTGCACATATACATGTGAACACACTGATTTTGTTTATTCTCAGTCTCCTATACAGTATAAGAATGCCACTGAATTGAAATTGTATAGTAAAATTAATTACACTGCAATAACTATTTAGTTTGAATAGTGCTCAAATCATCCCCAAAGCCTCCAGGCAATAGAACTGTGAAATTATGTTATGCACTTTATTGTAAGTTTGAAGAGCCTGATATATTTTTGAAAGAGGCAGGTGCCATTTATCATCACAGACATATAACACTGGCCTATGAAGAAGGTGTTTTGTTGGGATATATATCCCATACCTCTCATAATTAGCAATCATAAATAAAAAAGTAATGGTTTACCCTGTCCAGTCTAGGACTGGTGCTAATCTCTGTTTTCCAGCTGAAGGAGCCAGCATTATCTGGAGACGCTTCCATGATGATGTGATTGGCAGGACTATATGCCGATGGCAGACAGAATGATGTTACCTTCCCACCAAAGTGGTACCTATTACCTACTTGCATTTGCATACTTTCAAACTGTTAGGTGGGCAGGAACTGGGCCAAGAACAGGAGCTCACCCCACCATGCAGTACTATTTGGGTCTCAAACTGCCAGGCTTCCTGTTGACAAGCCCAACATCTTAACTGCTAGGTCACTGCACCTCTTTATTAACAGTCATACTTCTTTTCAAACAGCTGCTTACATAGCTAGAACCTGTGTTCTCAATGCACTAACATTTCCCACATGCATACCTTCAAATGCTTAAGTGCTTGTTCTGCAACCAGCTCTTCTTTCTTGTTCCATTCAACAGCATTCATTATACAAGTCCACAGGAGTCCAATCACTGCTGGTTCCGGCAGATCATTTTTTTTCATTTCTTCTTTTACATAAAGCACCATCTGGAATAGGAAATTTAAAACAAAAAAAGCATCATTTTTCAAGCCATTACTTTAAATAACAGTGCCCTATCTGCCACCAATGTCTTTCAATAAGGCAATTTGCTTTTGATCCAGTACTCAGTGGTGTATGGAGAAAATAGAGAAACAAAGAGAAAAATAGAAAAAAGGAAGAAGCATGTCATATTCCTATATGCTTTTGATTTAATTTTGTAGGATTGTGTTCATACACCAAACTCACTTCACAGGAAATGTTCAACTACATAAATTAAAAGAAAATTAATTGCACTTTTATCACCACATAGTGAGTGAGAATTCCTGCAGCTGTAAAACTCCATATGGGAGGGGCAGCTTTGTTTCCTTGATAATCACTAAATGGATTTTCTTCATATGATACACTAAGCTATTCCATCTCTTTGATAAAGATTTAACCCTGGGTTGCAGTGAGTTCAAGTGCAGAAACATCACTTTTTCACCCATTCTCATTCAACACCTATTATCGACACCTATTCTCTTGCCCTGCAAGCAGTGACTCAGTCTTGTTAATGTCACAAGTCAACAGATGCAGCAATAGATAGCATTGGTAATATCTTACAGGACTTCTGCTCTGGATCCAAGATTGGGAGGGACAGCTAAGCATGGAGCAACATAGACTTTTCTGAGATCTGCCCAGTTGCCTCTCCACAGAGATGCATTTAAGGATTTTTTTCCTGGATTGTTTTTTTATTTACTTGAGACTACATGTCTCGGGTTTTTTTTTTTAATGGCTACAGCAAAAATGTGTCAAAATTCACTTAAAATTGACCCTACAATTTCTCATGCCCAATTTTTACATTATGCATGCAAACCTTTATGAAAATCAAAGCAGTAACATCAATTGTCTATGGAACAAGCATTACATGGAGCTATTCTGAAGAACCTATTCTGAGCCTTAAGAACAGCTCTTAAGAGCTACATTTTATCTTTCTCCTGTGGCATACTCTTTCAGTAGCTTAAATAAAAGAAAAAATATTTTTTACACCTCTTTAATTGGACATTCTTGAGAAAGACGTTCCTGGAGTTCTCTTTGTAGTTCTTTTCGGGTCCCCAATGACTGCTGGACTCTAAGGAAATCTGAAAGCTCTTTTAGGCCAGCATCTGTGAAATATTTGGCAAAATGGTCCACATTCTGTCGATTGGCTGGAAACAGTTCCTAGAATAGAATAATAAAAAGAATATTATTTATTTTTTAAAGTAATTTTAAATACTGTAAAGAATCAGAAATATTTTGAGAGAAATCCTTCCTTAAGTTGCAGAAAGAGGCAAGAGAGTACACATACATCATGAAGAACCTAGCTGGCTTACAGAAATTGCCACAGTTCAAAAATAGCACATGGAGGGTCACTGAATCTAGAGATTTAAATGGCTAAGCATAACTGCTAGCTATTTAGGTAACTATCAATAGTTTATCTGGAGGATTAAAGCACTTTAAACAGCAGAAGGATTAAAGAAAGGAGACTAACATATGGGCCAGCACCCAGTTCTGTCCAGGAAGCATTTGAGTAATCCTAACTGTTTTCCAAATTATTGTGATGGATTGTTATTAGGCTGAATTCTCATGAGGGAGGAAGTGCTTTCCAGTAACAGACAGCTCAGTCTAGAGTTAGAGAAAGAGGTGAAGACAACCTTCCCTAATGGTTCTCTATGTATATGATTGCTAGTCATATAATGGGTTATGTATGTGGCCAATCTTTTGTGGTGGTCACTAAGCAACTACCATGGTCATTAAGTAAATACCAGAGTCATTAAGCAAACCAATGGTTTGCTATAGGCTGCTTTTGCCAAAAATTGGAACTAAATGCCAGTTTTCTGCCAAAAATATAAAACACGGCTGTGTGATTGTAGAATGCTGCAAAGCCATCAATGCTGGCCTGTTTGCTGACCGCCCAACATGCGGATAGAGCATGAGAACATCAGAATATATTGTAAGTACCCTTGAGAGGTCCATTGTAACTTTGAATGCTCACTAAGTGACTGGTCATAAGTCAAGGACTATCTGCATGTTTATTTTGGAATAAATCTGAGAGGCTATTTATTTTGAAATAAGCATTAATCAGATCAGTTTGCATTACTATCTGTGTGGATCTTTTCTTATATGAGATTTTGAATAATTGGAATGAACTATTTGATTTTTTATTCTTTTCCTGAAAGCTGAAAATTCCCTGACGAAAGCCCAATCCAGATTTTTTTTTCATAAAGAATTATTTTATTTACCGTACTTTTTGTATTTCTTTGTATGGGTAATCTTAAGTGGCAATTAAGTGATTAACTCCTTAAATAGGACATGCAGTGAATGATCAACAGAAGAAAGAACCTTTTTTCATAGTGGTCATACTAGATGGGATTTTATTTACTTTAAGATTTAAATGCCCTATTTTCTATTTTTCCTTTCTGGTACTTTTTAATTTTTTTTTTACAGTATTGATGTTAGTTCCTCATTGATGATTTTCTTCAGACTTTATGCTTTTGCCATTTTAAGCTTCATATTCATATTTTATGTATTTATTTATTTTAGATTTTTTTTTTTTTTACTTCAGGATTCCTACAGGAGCTTGCTTATTGGTCACATCGATTATAGGAATAGGGATACTTACAAGCAGTCTCTTGTCTAAATTAGTCTTTCTTAAAGAAGAGGTAACAGAGTTGGCATCTTTCTCAAGCATCCATGCTTTAAAAAGCTTGACAGCAAAAGAAGCTGCTATACCTACAGAAAAAAAATATATCCTAAGCAAAGAAGCTGTGGTCTTTATTTAATTCAGTCTTTTACAATCTAATATTCTCTAGATGTATTTAGACCAGTGTTTCCTAACCTCAGCAATGTTAAGATGAGTAAACTGATTGGGGAACTCTAGAAGTTGAAGTCCATATATCTTAAAGTTGCTGAGGTTAAAAATCTCTGTATTAAACTACTATTCTCATTAGAGTTTGCTGGCATAACTATCTCACGCTTTGAGGGGAACTGCAATCCAAAATCTCTACAGGATAACAAATTGGAGAGGTCTGAATTGGTCTCTAAGATTCAAAATTGATGTATTGCTGGTGGTCTTTCACATACTACAACAGCTTTCATTGGAAGTCCATACTATGGTCTTTCTAAAACTGTAATGTTTAAACTATCTGCAGTAGTACAAAATCTAGTTATACATTTATACATATTCAGATTATACATATGCAAAACGATTGAGTAAGCCAGAAAAGGATACGTTTTCAGAAGTGACTAAATATTTGGATACTTAAAACTCCTTGTTTCACAAGAAAGTAAAGGAGAAAGAGAATGGGAGGAAACACAAATGAACAGCCTGTATTATTTGGACAAATGCAGAATCTAAGCAGCTAAGTGACCATAGTTATCATCTGTTGAGAACAGCTAGAAATACACCTAGCCATACCACATTTCTAACATTTTTTAAACATAAGAAAAACTCATCTGAATTCAAAATAGGTTATTCAACTGTGACTGTCCATGGAACAGTGTTTCTGACATCCAGCAATTTTAAGATGAGTGGACTTCAACTTCCAGAATTCCCCCAGCCAGCAGAGTGGCTGAGAGAATTCTGAGAGTCGAAGTCCATTCATCCTGAAGTTGCTGAGATTGTGAAACACTGCCAAAGGGGAATTTCTCAATAGACAATCATAGTAGAATCCTCCCTTTTGTCCCTAATACAAGTTGTCATACCCATCTTGAAACACTTAGATGAAAGTACTGCAGGCATCCCAAAAATGTAACCAAGTAGAAGAGAACAGAAATGGCCTTGGTATCTCTTCCTCAATTCAGGCTTTCACTTGTGTTATTTTTTTTTTTAAAAAAAAATCAATTTTCAGAGATTTATTGAGGAATCATTTAGCTCTTCTTAATCCCATAATGAAGAGTCACCACGTTTAGGGAATAGACCTCTGGCATTGTGTCATCTACTGTTAAAATCTGTTCTGCTACTTAGCCTTCTCTCAAAGATAAATTATACTTGAAAGTTCAAACACATATAAATAACACTCTGTTAACAAAAAGAAGCCTGCAAAATCTTCAATCTGGAACTTCAATGCAGAAGATGGTGAATTTTAATCTCATAATTTTCTTGCTTAAAATATTATCTCTATCCTAAGCATATTTAGAAAAAGAGAAATCTTTAAAGTAAAACAGCAGGAGAAAACAGGATTGTCTCTTTTCTTGCCAATTATTTCCAGTGGCCGGTTTGTTTGTTTTTGGCAAGAGAAAAATGCCAGCAGCTCTTAAGCAATACTCAGGTTTATAAATTGTCCTAACTTATTACTTGGCCATTAGATTCAAGGTCACTTCTTGGAAATACCGATTTCCTGATTTCCTTTAACTTCTTCAGCCTTTTTCTGGGAAGGTAATTATTCACTTTAATGTACTAAGCCCTGCAAATATATTACCCATTAAACAAACAAAACAAAACCCATTAAATTCACAAGATGGCATCCAAGATTCTAAAATTAAATCATAGTCACTCAATATTAACATGATGAAATAACAAAATTATAAACAATTTATACATGCATAGCATGTAGAGTTTGCAGTTTTTATTAAAGTCTAAGAGAAATGGAAAATACAAAGGACCTCAAGGGAGTGATCCCTAATTCTAAAGCCACAATGTCAAAGATCCTGCCTTTTCGAAATAAAGATAACAAAGTTATCCTGTGGGAAAAGATAATGTACATCCTTTGGGATAGGGAGAATTTCTAATTACCTTCTTTAACAATGTTGTCAGTGAAAAGGCTTGTTAAAATGGTAGCAGGTAGTGTTCCATTAGCTAGCAAGATTCCAGTGAGGATTGCCAATTTTGCCTGCTCAGTTTCAGAAAAGGCTTTAAGAAATAACAGGAGCTGTGAGGCAAAAAAAAAAAAAAAAAGGGCACATGTTTTTGGAAGCATATAAATACAGATAACAACCTGAAGTGCCCAGGGCTGCCAAAATAGTTAATGCAACAATTTCAACTTTGGGATCATCAAAACTAAAAATTAAAGTGTTCATCAGTTTATGAGAAAGAACAGCATTTATATTAAATCAACTGAATGTAATTTAAAGTCAATCTAATTAATTTCTGCTGTGGAATGAATTTAGCATACAGTAACAAGAATAAGCAAGATAGATATATTTATTTTATTTCAGAACAGGGATACAAAGTAGAGTATTTGGTTACACTTTGATCCACAACTTTGAATCAAAAGTTCAAAACTGCATAATCATATTTTGCTGACAAAAGAAAATGAATAATTTGTCTTAATTCCTGGAAAATCTATACTGCCTTTTAATTTCAACATGCATTCTTGACCTTTTGACAAATCAATATGTAGACTCTATGATTTAAAATATTGGCTTTTTAACACAGAGCTATGGTACACAAATAACTTTCAATAATCACTGGCTGTGCTTGTAAAATACAGTAGTAAAGATAGATAAGCTTTTTGAACATATATAAAATGACCTTGATGATCAATATTTTCTTCTAAATATAAAGGTTATATTTAGATTTTAAAAAAAAAGCTTTCTATATCCATTCTGTGACTTTGTTAAACATAAATTTAAATTTTAACTATATTCTTTACTGTACTATTTTACTTTACTGTAATATTTCATGAATATGCATACAAAAATTATGTTTTATTATCCACATTTATTGTATTTATTACCTATTGATTGCATATTTTCATTGAGCTGAAAACAATTACGTTATTTTCTGTTGTGTCCTGAGTCTGCTGAAGCAGTCAGTAGGCTCAGAAATGATGCAAATGGTCCCGGGCAGACCAAAAGCTGCCTGGGACCAGATTGACTATCGCCAGCCTTGTGCGCATGCGCAAGGCGCGAAAACAGCCAGATTCCTATTGGCTGACGCTGTCCGAGTTTATCACAGTATAAAAGGCCTGCATGCCTTTTTGGTTGTTGCTGATTGTAAGAAGAAGTCAATAAAGAAAGCTTAATGTTCACCATGTGTCTTCGTTTAATGCCTGAGACCCGAAAACATAAAACTGGTGATGAAAGTGGGATCGCTGCAGACAAGAGGAAGATTTACAACTGAATTGAGGACTCACAGAAGGTCGTGAAGCTTGGAAAGTCGGTATCCAGCTCTGCACTCAGCCAGCCAGTACAGCATCGCTGGAGGTGAGCTTGGCAAATGGACCCCTTCCCCCAGTAAGACGAGATTTGCAGCGAAAGGCATTAACGAGGCCTGTGAAGACTTAAGATGTCGAAGATTGGCCGCTTATCTGACTTTGATGTCTCCCATCCGGAGTGCTGGAATTCATATGTAGCGTGGGTGGAGAACTACTCAATCAGATAAGGGAAGACGGCCTTAAAGCGGCAACCCTGCTGTGTGTTTGTGGACAGGAAACGTTCGACATAGCAGAAAACTTGGTGGCCCCTGCGCTTTTAGAGTCAGTAACTTATACTGACTTGGAAGATAATGCTTAAAGAACATTTCCAGCCTAAACTTTCTGTAATTGCTTGGAGGCACGCATTCGAGCAGAGAGACCAGAGGCCGGATGAGTCTGCTATGAACTTTATTGCTGCCTTAAGACCAGCGGCCAGGCCTTGTGAATTCAAGGACCTGGAAGAGAGGCTGTGAGATCATTTTATTTGTGACCTACGAAGTAGGGAGCTGCAACAGAAGATCTTCGCCAAGGAAGAAGTTTCATTCCAAGATGCATTGAGAGAGGTTGCAGCTGAAGAAGCAGTGGGCGGCGCTGTGAAGGCTTTGCACTCGCCAGAAACCCTCCAGCTACCGTGACCGTCCATCAAGAAGTCACTAGAGAAGATCCAGAAACGAATCCTGAAGAGGAGGTGGATAGGCTACACCAGCCAGCTGAGAGAAGGCCAAAGGAGTGTCCAGACAAGGCTTCAGCATCTCCTCAGTGCATCAGGTATGGAGGACGCCACAAGCGCACAGACTACAGATTCCGCTCCGCCATTTGCCGGGCATGTGGAAGGCAAGGCCACATTGCCTCCATCTGTTTGGGTCGCCAGAAGGTCCAACCTTGGGAAGAATTGCTTCAGAAAGGTACCAGGGTCCCCAGCCAACACAGGGTGGGTTTCTGTGCATCGCGCAGGAGTATTCTGAGGACAGGGACACACAAGCTCCTTAAGAAAAAGCTTTGCATTGACGTGAAGCTGCAAGGGGTTTCCTTGGACACAGGTCCGCTCTATCAATCATTTCACATGACACCTTCAAAAGGATTTGCAGCAGTAGTGTCCTTCGAGTCAAACTCAGGCCATCAAACTTAATCCTCACTGACTCCCAGAATTCCAGAGTCAGTGTGAAGGGGGAGGCTACTCTCAAAGTGCAGCATAAGGCTTTTGAAGGACTACTAGATGTGGTGGTAGTTGGGGGTGATCGCATGAGTCTCATTGGACTCGATTGGATCAAGGCCCTTGGAATCCAAATGACTGGGCTGCACAACCTGCAAACCCCCGGCCTTGCAGAACTCTGCAGGGAATTTGCTGAGGTGTTTAGCTCAGAGCTTGGCTCTTACAAGGGGCCTCCCATTGCCCTACGCTTAGACCCAACTATCACACCTATTAGCATTAAACCTAGAAGGATGCCTTTTGCTCTCAAGAACAAAACTGATGCAGAGCTGGACAAGCTGCTCCAGCAGGGCATCTTAGAACCTGTGGACTCTAGTCCAAGGGAAACCCTCACTGTAACGCCTTTAAAGGCTAATGGAGAAGTCTGAATCTGCACGGACTATAAATGTACATTGAACAAAGCATTGCAAAGCATGCATACCCAGTTTCTGTGGTAAGTCACATTCTGGCCTCCCTCAAAGGGGGGGGCGCATTTTTGCAAAACTCTATTTGGCACAGGCCTACCACAAGCTACCTGTTGATGAGGCAGCAGCTGAGGCTCAAACAATAGTAACACAGAGATGACCCTTTAAGGTTAAAAGATTGAGTTTGGGGTTAATGGAGTCCCTGGCATATTCCAAAATGTCATGGAGCGTAAACTTTGTGGTATTCTTGGTGTCTGTCCCTATTTTGATGACATCCTCATTGCTGGGGAGTCATCTCTAAACTTAGCTGAGAGATTAAGGGCTGTCTTGCTTCGTTTCCGCCAAGCGAGTCTGAAACTGAAGCAAGAAAAGTGTAAGATTGGAGTCACTTCCACTGAATTCTTAGGTTTCAGAATTGATGCTCAAGGCATCCATCTTGCTGAATCGAAGTGATTCAGCAGGCCCCAAGCCCAAAAGCGAGCTGCAAGCTTTCTTGTGGCTCTTAAATATCTATCATGCATTTCTTCCACACAAGGCTGCAGTGGCAGAGCCATTACATCGGCTCTTAGATAAACAAACTCCATGGCAGTGGACTAAAATCAATGAGGTTAAGGCCTTGCTCTCTTCAAATGCTGTATTAGCGCATTTCAATGAGCAACTGCCTGTGTGCATTGCATGCGATGCATTTCCTTATGGGGTGGGAGCAGTACTTAGCCATCTGAAGGCTGATGGGATACAAGTCCCTGTGGACTACTACTCAAAGACTCTGTTATCTGCAGAGCGGAATTACGCTCAGATTGAAAGAGAAGTCTTGGCCATAGTGGCTAGCATAAAGAAATTCCATGATTTCTTATATGGCCGCCACTTCACAGTCTACACAGACCATAAGCCTCTGCTGGGTTTGTTTACTACTAACAAACAGATACCACACATTATTTCTCCACGTATGCTGAGATAGTCCATTTTCCTGTCAGCATATGACTACATGCTAATTCACTAACCTGGAAAAGAGATGGGCCATGCAGATGGCCTCAGCAGATTACTTCTAAAACAGATAGAGGCAGATCCTGCTCCTGCTATTAATATTCTTTCCATTCAGGAGTTGCCTGAATCTCCCCTCAATGCCAGGAACATGGCTGCTGAAAACTGCCATTGATTACATGCTCATACACGTGCTGACATGGGTGTTGTCAGGATGGCCTGACATGTGTCCAGATACAGAGTTTCAAAGCTTCTGGCAAAGGAAGCATGAACTTTCCACTTTCAAGGGATGCCTGTTATGGGGTAGTAGGGTAGTCATCCCAGCCTCACTGAGGTCTAGAATCTTGCTCTCTCTGCATGAGGGACATCCAGGCATAGTAAGGATGAAAGCACTTGCGCGTAGCCATCTCTGGTGGCCTGGGCTCGAGGCCCAGGTGCACAGGTGCCAAGTGTGCCAGCAGTCAAGGCCTGAAATGCCTCAGGCCCCAGTACATAGGTGGGAGGAAACAAAAACCCAGTGGTCACGGGTACATATAGTTACGCTGGGCCCTTTCAGGGGCAATTCTTCCTTCTTCTCATTGACAGCCATTCCAAGTGGCTAGAGGTTGTTCCTGTTTCCTCCACTATTGCTGCCAGGACCATCCAGGGGTTGAGAGGGATCTTCGCCTCACATGGATTTACAGATGTTCTTGTTTCAGATAATGGCCCCCAATTTACCTCTTTTGAGTTCCAGGCTTTTCTTCAGGCCAACTTCATCCAGCATGTGACTTCTGCTCCCTTCCACCCATCTTCCAACGGCCAGGCAGAGAGGATGGTGTGCACTACCAAAGATGCTCTCAAGAGACTCACTTACGGCAGCTGGCATCACAGGTTAGCTGATTTCCTTCTTGCACATCGCACCACACCTTGTACAGCCACAGGGAAGAGCCCAGCAGAACTCCGCTGGAGTTGCCGCCCATCACGAAACTGGACAGGTTGCACCCAGACCGGGTGGCTTTACAGGTGTCACAGCCACGGGCACCTAGGAGACTACAGGTGGGTGATCCAGTCTGAGCAAAGAACTATGGCCCTGGACATCTCTGGGTCACAGCAGTGGTATGCAAGGTCTTTGGGCCGCTGTCATACGAAGTGGCCTTGGA